AAGAGCAGAGTAATGTGAGAGTAAAAGAAAGGTAAAGAGAGTGGTGAGAGAGTGCAAAAGGAGAGCAGATGATAGAGTGGGAGAGGCACTGTCCAGAAAATTTTAATGAAAATAAGAAAAAATTTTGGAGTGAGTTAAACAAGTTAAGAAAGCCTAGGGAAAGTATGGATTTGTCAGTTAAAAACAGAGTAGGGGAGTTAGTAGATGGGAGATGGAGGTATTAGGTAGATGGCGAGAATATTTTGAGGAACTTTTAAATGTTAAGGAAGAAACAGAGGCAGTAATTTCATGCACTGGTCAGGGAGGTATACCATCTTTTATGAGTGAAGAAGAGCAGAATGTAAGTGTGGGGGAGGTACGTGAGGCATTACATAAAATGAAAGGGGTAAAGCAGCTGGAACTGAGGGGATCATGACAGAAATGTTAAAAGCAGGGGGATATAGTGTTGGAGTGGTTGGTACTTTTGTTTAATAAATGTATGAAAGAGGGAAGGTACCTAGGGATTGGCGGAGAGCATGTATAGTCCCTTTATATAAAGGGAAAGGGGACAAAAGAGACTGTAAAAATTATAGAGGAATAAGTTTACTGAGTATACCAGAAAAGTGTATGGTAGGGTTATAATTGAAAGAATTAGAGTAAGACAGAATGTAGGATTGCGGATGAGCAGGGAGGCTTTCAGAGTGGTAGGGGATGTGTAGATCAAGTGTTTACATTGAAGCAAAATATGTGAACAGTATTTAGATAAAGGTAGGGAAGTTTTTATTGCATTTATGGATTTAGAAAAGGCATATGATAGAGTGGATAGAGGAGCAATGTGGCAGATGTTGCAAGTATATGGAATAGGTGGTAAGTTATTAAATGCTGTAAAGAGTTTTTATGAGGATAGTGAGGCTCAGGTTAGGGTGTGTAGAAGAGAGGTAGACTACTTCCCCGGTAAAAGTAGGTCTTAGACAGGGATGTGTAATGTCACCATGGTTGTTTAATATATTTTAAGATGGGGTTGTAAAGGAAGTAAATGCTAGGGTGTTCGGGAGAGGGTGGGATTAAATTTTTGGAGAATCAAATTCAAAATGGGAATTGACACAGTTACTTTTTGCTGATGATACTGTGCTTATGGGAGATTCTAAAGAAAAATTGCAAAGGTTAGTGGATGAGTTTGGGAATGTGTGTAAAGATAGAAAGTTGAAAGTGAACATAGAAAAGAGTAAGGTGATGAGGGTGTCAAATGATTTAGATAAAGAAAATTGGATATCAAATTGGGGAGAAGGAGTATGGAAGAAGTGAATGTTTTCAGATACTTGGGAGTTGACGTGTCGGCGGAAAGGATTTATGAAGGATGAGGTTAATCATAGAATTGATGAGGGAAAAAATGTGAGTGTGCGTTGAGGTTATATGTGGAGTCAAAAAACGTTATCTATGGAGGCAAGGAAGGGAATGTATGAAAGTATAGTAGTACGAACACTCTTACATGGGTGTGAAGCTTGGGTGGTAAATGCAGCAGCGAGGGGACGGTTGGAGGCAGTGGAGATGTCCTGTTTAAGGGAAATGTGTGGTGTAAATATTATGCAGAAAATTCAGAGTGTGGAAATTAGGAAAAGGTGTGGAGTTAATAAAAGTATTAGTCAGAGGGCAGAAGAGGGGTTGTTGAGGTGGTTTGGTCATTTAGAGAGAATGGATCAAAGTAGAATGACATGGAAAGCAAAATAAATCTATAGGGGAAGGAAGGCGGGTAGGGGTCGTCCTCGAAAGGGTTGGAGAGAGGGGGTAAAGGAGGTTTTGTGGGCAGAGGCTTGGACTTCCAGCAAGCGTGCGTGAGCGTGTTAGATAGGAGTGAATGGAGACGAATGGTACTTGGGACCTGACGATCTGTTGGAGTGTGAGCAGGGTAATATTTAGTGAAGGGATTCAGGGAAACCGGTTATTTTCATATAGTCGGACTTGAGTCCTGGAAATGGGAAGTACAATGCCTGCACTTTAAAGGAGGGGCTTGAGATATTGGCAGTTTGGAGGGATATGTTGTGTATCTTTATATGTGTATGCTTCTAAACTGTTGTATTCTGAGCACCTCTGCAAAAACAGTGATAATGTGTGAGTGTGGTGAAAGTGTTGAATGATGATGAAAGTATTTTCTTTTTGGGGATTTTCTTTCTTTTTTGGGTCACCCTGCCTCGGTGGGAGACGGCCGACTTGTTGAGAAAAAAAAAAAAAATCTCCTTCTCTCCTACACACCCTAACCTTCACTTCACTATCCTCATAAAAACTTTTTACAGCATTTAGTAGCTTACACTACATACGTATTCCCATATTTTTGCTTTGGGTTTGTGCATACCCTTGGATACTACTCAAAATATGCAGGAAAGAAGGTAAAATACCTAGGGGTTGACAGAGAGCATGCGTAGTTCCTTAGTACAGTAGGGCCGCCATATATATATCTGTAGGTCCAGTTTCTTTGATTTCAGTTATCCACTGTTTACTCTGGCCCAAAAATAATCCTTAATATTCCTTGATAATGACACCAAAGTGCAAAAGTAGTGATACTTACAGTTCTTCAAAGCCTAAGAAAAGTTGTGAAGTGCTTCCCATCAATAAAAAAGTGTCAATTCTCGGCTTATTGTGCATTAATTTATCAATTAAACTTTAACATAGATATTTATGTAAACTAAGAACTACTTATTGTGCATAATTTATCAATTAAATTTTATCATAGGTCTGTATGTAAATTAAAAATTACTTAAATATAGGGTTTGCTACTATCTGCCATGGATATGGGCGTTCTTCTGTATAAGGGAAGGGGATAAAAGAAAGTAAGTAAGAATTACGTTACAGTCATACCCTGCTTTATGTCATTTCGGCTTAAGTCAAATTTGCCTTTACGCCACTTTTCTGAAGTAAATTTTAGTTCATTGAACATCATTACGTCCAACTTTACGTCACTCAGCAACGTCACCTATGTCATAATAAAAGGATGTGAAATACATAAATTTTCCTTAAAAATACATGTATATTTAAAAGTAAATAAAACAAAAATTAACAATAAAAATTAATAATAAAACACATTAAAAACATAAAAAATGTATACATATACAATAAAATGCAAAATAACGCAGGGGGAGTTGAATGATAGCTCTAGGCCTTTCGTGTTCCTCAGTCTTAGCAAGGCGTCCCTCGGAACGAATTTGCTAAGATTACTTACTCATTTCTTCTGTAACTTTGCAAGCTCCTTATGTGTTGATTGCAATACAAAAGGCCTAGAGCTATCATTCAACTCCCCCTGTAGTTGTTTTGTATCCTGTGTCACTTGTCCGCGATTTTCGCATAATACAATAAAATATTTACATAAAAAAATTGTAAGCAAGTGTCTGTTGATATGTAGTGCCACCATCTTGTTGCATGGCAACGTTACTGCTGGTTCTCATTCAAAACAAGGGCGATGCCATATGCATTTTTGCCCCCTGCAATCGTGTGCCTGTTTTGCCTTTCGGTGGTACTTTTGTGATTATTCCTCTGTGTTAGCCGTGGGTCCTAAGAAGGGTAGCGGTAGTGATTCCAAACATAATGTGGTTATGATGGGAGTTGAGTTAAATATGATTAAAAGGTATGAAAAAGGTGAAAAGTGTCTGTATTAGCATGTGCCCTAAGGTTGCTTTAGGTGTTTTTCGTCATACTTAAGGCATTTTTAAAGGTTAACATAATTTTTTAATTGTTTTCTTTATTCTTTAAAAAATATGAATAAAGTATGCTTTTAGTGTTCTTTCAAGCTTAGAGAAAGTTATATTCTTTCGCAAGTTATTTACGCTAGTTTTACAGTGTCATCATTTTAAGGCATTTTTAAGTCATTACGTCCAGTTTACGTCAAAAAACCGGGTTACAGCATGGCTCTTGGAACCAATTAATGATATAGGGCAGGTTAAGACTGTATAGGGAAATAAGCCTGTTGATTTTATGAAGTAGTGTGCAATAGAATTTACAATGTTACTGAAGGAGTTAGATATAATACAGAAAGTGGCATTGCAGGGGAACAATTAGGATTAAGGAAGGGAATGGGATATGTTTACTTTGAAGCACATGAATGAACAGTACTTAGATAAAGGTACTTTGCTGCATATATGAATTTAGAAAAGACATATGATATGGTGGATAGGTAGGGACAGTGTGGCAGATGTTGCATCTGTATGGAATAAGTAGTGGGTTCCTAACATCAATAAGGAGTTTTTATACAGAAAGTGAGGCTCAGGTATGTAAATAAGAGGAGACTGTTTGCCTGTAAAATTATGCCCCTAGACAGGGGTGGTGGGGATGTTGTTCAGAGGGTCATCTGAATTGTGATGTCTGCACATTTCTGGCAAGACAGCTGTTGAATGAATGATGGTGAATATATTCCCATTTTTGGATTACCCTAGCATGGTGGGAGATACATACAGTATTTAGTTATGCCTTTCTCTGTCTCTGTGTAACTCTTATGAGTTTAGTGCTTCCTCATGAATAGTGTAAAAGTTTGTGTGAAATTCTTGAAAAGCTTGCAATACACAAATAACCCGGTCCAAGTCGGACCAAAACGTCGTCGTAAGCTCCTCTCTTCTATGTGCGGGTTATTTGTGTATCGTTCCAGTCACGGTATTTTGCCTTTTTTTGTTATTTAAAGCTTGCAATTTTTTAATATTTTTAAGTTTTATTAGTCTAAGAAGTGTTACAAGTAACTTATTGATTAAGGTATTCTAGATATCTTGTTTTATAGGCTGGCTACTTTACTAGCTTGCATTTCATCTTTTTAAGGAATTATAGTTGTCATATACTATAGTTTTTGTTGAAATAAAAATCAAATTACTGTTTATCAATATATAAAAAATTTTTTTTTGTCATATGCTGTACGTATATGAATTATTGGTGGTAATTATAATTTTCTGTGTATAATGGTCTGGACATATACTATAAAGAATGCATATGCTGAATAATTTATATTTGTTTGTTTCTCTAATTTTAAGCATTTGTTGTGCATACAGGTGTGTGGGGGTGGACCGCGAGCAGGAATCTTTCACTTGCGATCTCTGGCTTTAACAACAGTCTTACCCTCAGCCAAGTCTGCCATCCATGTTACTAGTTTCATAAGACATGCAGAAGGTGGTGATCGAGGGGGTATTGTGGTAGCAGGTAATTAATAATAATTATTGTCTCTGTTAATATCAATTAGGAATATTTAGTACTGTGTTTACAAATGTCCATTGGGGAAATCACTTAAAAAAATGGGTAGGGGGGGTGCTAATTTAATGTAGTGTGTAAAACTAAAGCTTGTTGTAGATCATTTGCTGGAGCCAGTGGAAGGCAGCTGGCAATGAAGAAAAAATTTAGTAATGAAGGCAAAATTACTGACCGCATTAAGTAAAAGGACATGTGCAACTAATGTGACATTTTATTGTACAGCATTATGCTCCAGGAGCTGTCAAGCTCCTAGAGCAAATGTTTTCTTTAACTTGCCAAACTGAAAATGAATGATTGCCATAAATGTGGCATTGCATATGCAGTATATTAGGTAGCTTGCTTGCAGTTATCAGTGGTATGACTTGAATATTTATTATTTAATAGCTAGCAAGAGGAATAAAAGGAGAATGTATCTGCACAGAAGTGATATTTTCCATAAAAAAGTAATTAACCCTTAAACTACCACACACATGCTTATCATTGGGTATGTGAATACTGCCACACACATAGATCAAAGTTTAAATCCTAGCACCCTCAAAGTGGCTGTGAATAGGAATGTGAGGCCTATGCTGGATAAAGTAAGCTTACATTGTAGGTGTGCACACCAACCAAAAATTCCCCTACCACACAAGGCATTGTGAAAACAGTTTACTTCATTATTGGGTTAGGTTACAGTGTGTGTACAATGTATATAATATACGAGAAAATAAAAAAAAAGTACCAAGAATGAATAATTTGTCAGTAAAAATTTGGTTCAGTTAAGAAATAATTTGTTATTGAACATTATCCAATAAATATGGTCTTAAAATATATATACTAATCATATATGTATGTTTTGAAAAGAAAAAATGAAAAAAATGGCCAAAACACTAATACATACAGTGGAACCTTGACTTAAGAGTGCCTCAACATACGAGCTTTTCAAGATACAAGCCGTCGCTCAGTCGATTTTTTGCTCTGAGCTATGAGCCAAAATCCAAGTGATGAGCGAGCTTTTCCCTCAAGGGAGGTTCCTTGATGCTGGCGAGGGGCTCTCAATCTAGGGAATTGGATCTGTGTTCCAGTTCCCTAAATTAAGTCTGAATACCTTTCATCCCCTCCCCCTCATAGGCACTGTATAATCCTACGGGTTTAGCGCTTCCCCATTATAATAATAATAATAACGAGCGAGCTTCAGAATGCCGCCACTAGTTGGTGCAGCGAACGCCACAACATCTCTCATCAGTGCACGTGTTTACCTCACCGTGGAAGCATTTCTCTTGTGTTTTGCTTGAATTTTGTGCAGTTATTTTGCCAAATTTCTTTTTTCTAACCATGAGTCCTAAGAAAGTAAGGAAAGTGCTGAGAAGAAAAAGAGGATGATGTCCATGGAATTAAAAAGCATGCAATCATAGATAAACACAAGTAAGGTGTGTGGGGCAGTATGAGTGTAGTACTACTACCATATGTATGATACTAAAGCAGGAGTCGATAAAGGCTATAGTGCCAGTGAAGGGTGTTACAATAACTTCTAAGCTGCGGACCTTTGTCCATGAAAAGATGGTTGACAGGGAAACACTTTGCAGGAGATACTGTGACGGTATTTCCTCCTTGCCTAACTCATTTCCGAAACATTCTAAAAGGGAGGATGAAACAAGCCTGCAGATGAAAAGGAGGCCCTGCAGATGAAAGTGAGGAAAGCTTGGAGAAAAAGCCAAAAATCAGTGAAAAGTGAAGTGAAAAAAATAAAAACAAATTGTAGCAGTTAAGTTCAGTGATAAAGTGTAGCATTAACCCTTAAACTGTCCAAACGTAGATCTACTTTCACGTGCGTAGCTCTCCGAACGTAGATTTACATTTTATTTTACATGCTTTCAACCTTGGCATGATAGGCCTGAGTTGCCTAGACATGAGAGAATGGGTCTGTGCACTCAGTGTGAGCAGTATGACAAAATTCGGGGATGCCGGGGAAAATGCACTCTTAATTTTAAACAAAAAAAAAAATTTGTTTTTCCAAAATATTCAGGGTGCTACGCAAGTGAACGTTTGCACACTTTAAGGGCTAAGAGTATAGCAAGTAAGTTAAGCAATTAAACGATAGAAAAAGGACAAAATGACACAAACTCCTCCAATGTTGTTGTTGCTGTTTATAGGGCCACTGACAGCATACGCTGCTCTGCCTATCTTTTCCACCCTCAACCTCTGCCAGGATCTCTTCTCCAAGGTAAATATGTATGTACACTTTATAAAACCAGTTTATTTCTTTACATTCTCTATTATGTTTTATTATGTTTTTATATAATAGTATTTCTTATTTATAAATACATTGTTTCAGTGTTTTCCTTATGAAACTAGTGATCTAGTTCAGGTAGCCTTACAAACACTCCACTTTCTCTTATAATAAGAGCATGGGAAGATATAGTCACAGAGGGAGCAGGAATGGCCACCACCACTCATCACATGATAAATAAAATAAAAAAATAAAATAAAATAAAATATTTATTTCTTTGCTAAGGTTACAATGTGTGTTTACATATCATAGTATGATTGGAGCAAAGAGAGCCACTATCATGCCGAGGCATTTTGGGCAGACTTAACCTAATACTTACAGTGGAACCTCGGCTTACAAATTTAACCCTTAACCTTTTGAGGGTCGAGAGGCCCTCTCCCAAACTCGTTCTCAGGGTCGAAATTTTTTTGAAAAGAAATAAATTATTTTTTCTTATGAATTGATAGAGAATCTTTTTCTGATCATAATGACACCAGAAGTATGAAATTTGATGAAAAACTTATGGAATTATGCTCTTGCGAAGTTAGCGGTCTCAAAGTTGGCGATTTCGCTCACTTTGGGCCCTATTTTCGGTCAATTCCAATGTTGCAGTTGACTAAAATCTAGCTATTTCCCTAGAATTCCATTAGTTCTATCGATTGAGTACAAGAATCCGCCCATCTACCGATTTCAACTACCCAATAAAGTGATCAGAAATTGGCAAATATGGGCAATTTCACACAAATTTCAAAAGATGCCAATTTCAAAATAGGGTTCAGAATAAACAAGACAGACATTCATGGCATTAAAATAACATTTTATCTGTTCATTATTCACATCTCTAGGCCCCTCTTACATTACTTTTGCTTTCCATTTTGAATTTTTATTCTCACAGAAAATAGAAAGTTTTCTGTTATGTATACTACTGCATCATTGTAAAAATGGTATAAATGATGTCAGCGCACTTATGAAAGAATATTAGACTCACCAGTTGATGTGTATTGGATGCGTGACTTGATTTGTTTACTCTTGAATATCGGCAAAAATCGATCATTTTTGCTACTTTGAGCTCAATTTCAAGGTACTTGTCATCGTGAAACCAATCAAAATCATCTCTAATTCTGTAATATATCTTCCACTCTATCAAATGAGACCAAGGAAACGAGAATACAACCATAAATGCCATATGAAAATTCACTAGAAAGTCACTGTTGTAAACCAAAAACGCAATCAAAGTTTTTTTCTCATTATGCACAGCGTGCTTCAGGATTTTTTTATACTGCACACACTGACCACACAGACCCATTCTTTCATATGTAGGCCTGCCAGCTTTCTTACACAAGATTTGAAGGCACTAGAATTTAGGCGTACAAGTACGTGACTGACCCTGGCTGCAATGACGTTCTTGTCCGTGACCGACCCTCAGAGGGCTAAACTGTCCACACGTAGATATATGTTCACATGTGGTGGGCTCCAAACGTAGATCAATGCTTTATTTTTCATTCCTTCAAATTTGGTGCGATAGGCCTGAGTCGCCTAGACATGAAAGAATGGGTCTGTGCACTCAGTGTGCGCAGTATGAAAAAAATCAGGGACCACTTAGTACTTGTGGGAGCACCAGTTCAACTGAGCGCCAGCTAGAGCAAATAGCATGGCAAACATCAGTGATTCACTGATGTCATGTCATATTAACTCTCACATTTTAAGAGGAAAGTAAAAATAGGTTAGATATATGCATGAGTGGGTGTGGGTGGGTGTGAGTTGGACCTGACTAGCTTGTGCTACTGGGTCAGATGTTGTGCTCCTTCTTTTAGTGGATGTGACCTGACTAGGTGGGTCATTGGTCTAAGCTGGGGGGGTGACATGGACCTGCTTTGCATGGGCCAGTAAGCCTGCTGCAGTGCTCCTTCTTTCTTATGTTCTTATGTATTCAGCTGGCTAGCTGGCTGGCTTTGGCCACCTCTGCCTGTATCTCTCTATATCTGTCTGTCTATATCTCTATCTGTCTACATCTCTGTCTGTCTTTATCTCTGTCTTTCTGTCTTTATCTATATCTCTGTCTATGTCTATATCACTGTCTATTTGTATCTCTGTCTATATCTCTGTCTCTCACATGTATTCATAAATACAATTATACATAATGTAAATTACCTAGGATAACCCAAAAATTCCAGGCCAAGTGCTATACAGTGTTTGTAGATATAAGACATAAATAAACATGACGCAAATAATAGCAGTGTCACTTGCTCAGCAGTCAGGGAGCAGCACATACACCACAAACCAACAGGTTTACTAGCCACTCCCTGAGAGAGTGAAGCAGATGGAAAGACAGATACACACAAGCAGACAGAAAGACAGATAAGCAGAACTAGACAGATAAGCAGAGCTAGACAGACAAATAGATAAATAGACAGAAAGATGTACAAATAGATAGATATACAGATAGACAAACAGATAGATGTACAGATAGACAGACAGACCAACAGACAGACAGACAGACAGACATACAGAGACATGTTTGTGTGCAAGAGTAAAAACATGTATAGGCAAGGTTCCCCCTCCAGCAGTGCACATTCATCAAATGCCACTTGCTATCTGACACCTGTCATAACACTATTATTCAAGGAGTTCATATTATACTCCAGGCACACACAGAAGACAGAAAGACAGATAAGCTGAACTAGACAGACAGATAAACAGAGCT